GTAGGCTTGTGAACTAGATACCGACAAAGGACCGCAGCAAAGAAGCGCACTTCTTTTTCAATGAGTTGGAAAGGTCTCCTGCCGGCCATACTGGGAGCTCCCCAGTATGGACTTTCCCAACTTCAGTCAGGAGCTCCAACGTCCGAAGTATTTCTTCGTCTTCTTCTTTGCTAGTCCTACGACGTTCTTGGGCTTCTTCTTCAGCTCCTTGTGCTCCTTGATCTCGTTGAAAAGTGTTTCACTTCCTTTCAAGAGATCATCCATGACAAGCCATTGGAAACGCTCCTTCTTCAAGCTCTCCCGATGTTGCATGCCAAAGGAACTAAAATCTTCATTTGTCAATGCATCTGCGAGTTCATTGCCATCTCTTCTCACCCAGGTAAGAGTTAAGCATCAAGCCGTCTAAGCACCTCGATGACCAGCAATGTGACTGGATACTTTGTCGACAGTCCTTTGCGCAGAATGAAAGCATTGCCCTTGTTGTCTGTAAAAGCTTCTGCGTGGACTTCAGCTGTGTCCCCTGCACCTCTCAACCAAAGTTTGAGAGCAACCAAGGTGGCTAGCAGCTCAAGTGCAGCAATGACCCTCTTTGGATTCTTTCCCCGGTAAAATAACCAGGGTGCCATCTCCTCAGTGACTTGGCACGAAAACCACCGACACTCCTTGCTACAACCACTCTCTCCGAGCCAACCCCCAATCCAAGCAGCCTGCTCAGTTGCCTTTGCGTCTGTCCAAATCCTCAAAGGGTTGTTGCTCTGCTGGACCGGCTGTCTAACTTCGCAATCCAGCCCAAAATGAACTGTACTGCCCACGGGGTCGTCAATGCTCCCTGGTTTGATTGTATGGCAGAGAACCAAGCATAGAGGGGGCCCAACAAGGGCCTCTCCCAAGGCAGTGCTAGGGCCGAGAACCCCAACCGTCCCAAGCCCGCCGCAAACTCTCTGTATGTGACCTCCTTTCGCGACCTCAACGACCTGATCCATTCAAGCACCCACTCAGTTGACTCACTGAAAGACCTGTAGTTCGTAGTCAGGCCTATCCACTCAGTCGAAAGGCCACCCCTTTGTTTGGCCCACTTGAAAGGCGCCCCAAGCGCAGCCATTAGGGCAAAGGCCAAGACTCCACCAATTCAGCCCTCACGGCCTACCGTCAGCACCTCCAGGTCATCAGCATACAGCAACATGTCATTGCAGAATGCATCTCCCAAGACCCAATAGACCAATCTCATCAAGGCTGCGCTCAATCTTGCCCACCAGTATGGGGTCGATGCTACCCCGAAGGTTCCACCTTGTTCACGTAGATGGTTTTGGACTGTGTGGGAGCTCTGCAAGCCAGAAAACCCTGCTCCTCCTCCATGTATTTGAACCGCCTATGGGCCTTCGCGAAATCGCCAACAAGCGACAGCACCGTCACTTGTCCAGCTGCATACTCCTCCAGCTGCGCACGCTTTTCCCAAGGTCCAGGCATCCTAACTTTGTCCTTGCACCTGATCCTGTGATTCACCATCACACCATGCGTGCCATCATGTATGACCCGCTTCTTTAATAAAAAGATAACCTATAGCAAAAATGGCTGATAAAAGAGACAATGTATTTTATGGAATTTTCCAATTAAAAGATTGCTATGATTATAAGGAAAATTCCATATTATTCATTCATTTTTATAATTTACAAATGATGCCAACCTTTTTATTGAATTAGGTTGACCGGCTATCTTCTAGTTCTTAATATATTTAATGGAGAAACGGCATATTTTTATAGATGTCTTCTTATCTTTGCCGTTTCTTCTATATTGTAATATAGTTCTCTTATTGCCATGTAAATTATCAAGATCATTAATATAAAATTTAAATGGCTAAGATATAATCCATCACTTTCATCTCTTCCGTCCACCTTTTCCACTTGTGATCGCCTATTGAAAGAGATGAAAGACAAACCATAGATTATAATGTTCTGTGACACAACATAAGAAAGAAATAAGTGAAGATTGCAAATTTATATAAGACATTTAATGGGAAATTTGCAATCGTAAAGATATTAATAGAAAAGAACCCGCCCATAAAGAGAATTAAAAAGGGCGGATATTAATAAGATATAAAAGAAAAGGAAGGTGACAGTGAGGAAGTCCTTACACCGCTCATCTGGACGGAACTTACTTTCTTATTCCCTGTCCATCATTCAATAAGATACAAAGGAAAATTAATGATGGACAGGCCATTGACCACATAATAAAAGAAATATTAATAAATGTGGTCAATGGGTTATCTTCTTATTAATAATATGGGATTTTGGATGAAATAAAACAGAATTTCTCATATCCAAAATCCATAATAGATTATATCATTTATTCTATTGAAAATTAATGGGCTAGATAACCAAAAGATGACAGGAAAGACTTCACCAGCATTAATTCTCATTCTCTATCTTCATTTCTTTGTATGAAAATTAATGCGTAATGAATAAATGCATAATGAATAATCCTTAAGTTGTAGCAGCTCATTTGTATTCATTCTCTCTTTTCTACCTCCTTTTGCTCTCTTATCTACAAATGAGCTGTCAATAATAGTAATTAACAATAATCAATATTTACATGGGCTTGCGGATGAACATACAAAAAACGAAAAGGGAAGGAATAAAATACAAGCCCTTGATAATAGATTGTATCTTTCATGTTGGGGTTTTTCATATTCTTTACTTATGGCCTCCCAGATGAACGGCTTATCGTGAAGAGCTCAAGCCTTTGGCAACAGCCTGGTCACATCTGGGCCCCTTCTTGGATCTGGGGCCCCCTGCTCTTGGCCTGGCGGTGTAATCCCAAGAGCAGGAAAGAAGGAAAGGGGAATGTTGGACCTTCCTTGGCTGGCTGTTGAACTCAGAGAATGATTCGCTAGTACACGGTCAACCGCCAGGCCAAGAGCAGGGGCGCCCAAATCCATGAAGGGGCCCAAGCAATCCCAGGCGAGCCACTGTGCCCCATCCTCCACAAGTACTGCAAGGGCCGCCACAGCCCGGTTCTCCCCATACACCTCAATGAACTTCTCCTCCTCCATTTTGGCCATGAGGCCCTCCAGAACTTCCTGCTCCACAACACTGTCTGCCTGGTCTTGAGGAACTGTCCACTTCTCACGCAGCCAAACCTTCAGCTCTTCTAAGATGGAGCCCTCATCCAGCTCCTCATAGGCTGCCTCCCCGCGTAGGACAGCCACGATCCTCTTCTGCATCTTCTTGACGATCGCGTTGTAGGTCCTCACGTAAACGTCAGACCCCTCCGGACACCACCGTCCAAGGAGGTCTCTGTCTGACTTCTCAACTCCCAGCGCGGCAAGGCCGCTGGACAGCGTCGCACGTTCACTGTGCTCTGACCAAAACCTCTCCCAACCCGAAGGGATGAGGCGCCCATGGTAACCCTCCAGCACTGCCAATGTCTTTGTACTTCCTGCAACCGCTTCAGCATATGCGACATGCGATGCCCCGTACACCATGCCATAAAAGCAGGATTCTGGGAAAACATAGTCCCTGTCCCTTGGCATCTGAAGTTTCACCAAGTCAAAGCCAACCTGCAGCCAATCGTCACGCAGAACATACGCATCTTTTGCAATGAAAATTGGTAGTTCCCGAACTCTCTTCCCTGGCCCTGTCGTTTTTGACTGGTGCATCATCCCAACTAACTGGCCATCGTAGAAGCGGAGCTCTGAAGTCTTCAAATGCGCTGCATCGTCAAACCTCATTGATGCCCACATCTTAATGAGCTTAAACCAGGCGCAAACCCGGATCTCAAAGGGCACAGCTCCGTCCACCACCAATGTCTCCAGCGGTGCAATGAAGCATCCTAACCAACGGGGCGCCCGCCGGATAGGAGGTGCCTTCTGCTCCAGCCTCCTCGTCAGCTCCTTCATGACCATCTGTGGGAAGTGCTGGTTCATCAACAGGTCCTCCTCTGGCGTGCCTTCTGTCCTCTCGAACCACGCTACAGCTGCACTCACAGCCAAGGGGATTGAAGGTCCCATTCCTTCCTCCTCTCGGGCATACATGTAGTCCACCAGCGTGATACTGTTGGGCCTCTGACCAGGTTTGCACAATGCATCTGACCATTCCCTGAACCGCCCCCACGAAGCCAGATATCTTCGAACTGTCGAGAGTCGATACTTTCCCAGCAACGCTTCTTTTGCTCTTGTACACGGGCGCCCTATACCGCATCAGCTCATCAACTAGCTTGTCCATCACCTTGTCATTCACCTCCTCCTCAGCCCCTCAGCAGCTATCCGGCCACTTTTCAATCTCACCGTTCTCCCCAGTGTCCCCCTCTTCGGCACACCAGGCAGTACCACCTGAACTTCTGCAGGCTCCTAAGTCTGGACCTTCTCTTTCTCAATTGCAGCTTTGGAATCAAGCAGGTTCTGCATTGACCTTGTAGATGACGACCCGGATACCCGATCAGCCAAATCCGCCATTAGAGCCGCTTCCCGAACCTGCCCAACAACGAAAGCCGCATGCCATGGCTTATGCTCCAGTCCTAGGCGGTCTGCCAATTGTCTTGCGAGCACGTGTTCCGACCCATGGCTAACTGCCAATTTTGAACCCACCAGCCCAATCTCAGCCAGCAGGTTCAAAATTTGGGCAGACTCTTCGGGATCGGGGGTACACGTACCCCCCTCCATCCTATCTTCAAACTGAAACTCCTACCCTCGAGCCTACAAGCAAAAATGTAAAATGCTGTCATGACAAGTCATGAATGCACTTTGCAAACTTCATGTCAAGTGTCTAACTAATATTTGACTATAGTAGATCTGAACACTTGATTGCATTGTTCTATGTGTTTTATATTGTCACATTTAAGATCGGGTCGCATGAAGCGTGGACAACTGGCTTTTTTCAAGCGGACCCACTGGCTCTGTTCCATCCAAGTGGGAGCCGAAGATCGCTGGCGCTGATCCTTGGCCTCGAAGCTCCAGGCCTCTACAATGGCCTTGGACAGCAAAGGAGGGAAAAGGCATGGCCGATATACACATACTGGAGGAAAGTGAGACAATAGGACTCTTGAAACGATAAGTTAAAACAAAGAGTCATCAGGAAAGAGCCTATATGACACTCCTCCCTCTCATCAGGTCAAAACAGACAAACAAACAGTAAAAGTAAAAAATGACCTTGGCACAGATTTTTTGTGTTGCCTCATAAATGATTGAAATTGTCTGGGTCAAAGTTTTAGCAGGTGGATCCATGATCAATACAGGAGCAACATACCCACGTTTTGTCCTGAGGCAAACAATGCCACACTCCAGTACTGCAATGTGCTTTTGTGTCGAAAGCTCTGCGCAAATCAAAACCAAAAACCTTGCAGAGCTGATTGGTTGTTGTTTACAAAGCTCTCCATGTGTCCTCAGGTCTTTGCCAAATTACCCACCAAGACAGCAGTCCGTTTGGAAGCAAGCTACGGGGTGCTGTTCCTTGACCTGGTCAGCACACAGCACATAATCCTCAGCAAAGGCCGGAGCGACACAAAGCGCGCTAATCAAGAGTGTCGGATGAACATGTATCTGCCAGGGGAACGTTTGGTCATACGTCACAACAATCGCCCTGAGCCACTTAAAAGGAAATGGAGCTCCTGCAATGGTTGGTCGAGACGGCTTCGTGAGCAAGCCACAGTTCGTTGAAAAACAGCCGTCTGGGCCGAGGATCGACCAGAAACCCTTGAGTTTTCAAGGGCTCAAGCACATGCAAAAGCTGTGATGCCAAAGGTGAAGAGATCTTTTCGTTGCTAAGCCTTTCGAAGGCTCGATGGCCTTGGACACCAACAAATAACGGCAGCATAGACACCAGATAGAAGCAACAAGGTCTTCCTGTGTCTGGCATACGCGCAACAGCGCCTGCAAAAAACAATTAAAGAGTCTTGAGACTACAATGCTTTGGGAGAGTGTCTGCAATTATTCATGCATGGTCCCATGATGTAACATTGTTGCAACAAGATCCGGCTTTCTCAGAAGCTCGCCCGGATCGATTCGTTTGGGCCCTAGGTAAGCCATGACTGCTTGGTACAAACGTTGCAGTGGATTCTCAAGCCGAGGAACTCAGATGCCTCAAGCCCTTCATCGAGCGAGAGATCCTTGACGAGAAGAGCCGCGATCGCCCTACGACCATCACTGCGACTCGCCCCCCAACGGTGGGTGGAGATTTGGATGGCTCCTGCCACAACGTAAACATTTGAGTCTCTGAGAAACCCACCTTTCTTTGAGTCAAAAGATAAGGACCTTTCTTTTGAAAACACATACAGCCTCACATAAAATAGACCATGAACCTACAGACTCTGTGGCAAAAAAGAAACGATAAATGGCCAATCACATCTTCCATTGGTTCCTGCTCCTCGTGCACTGGCTGCTTGACAGAAGCATCAATCAGCTTGGGGCTCAAGGGAGCCTGATGTCAAAGAGAAAGACACCAAGATTCGCTCGCGCAGTTGAATAGTAACTCACTTATTCTGCACTCAGTTGAAAAGTCTCTATATAGAGTATAGAGTGAATTGTCTAAAGTCACGCGTCTGCTGTGGCAAGCTCCTTGAGCAAGCCAACCAATCTCTGTGAAACTCAGCTGACCTAGACCTAGCTCTGCGCCAGTTGCTATTTCCAACAAGTTAGCTCCAAGTTTCAGATGGTGCATTCAGCTTCTTCTTGTCTTCGACCTCAACCTGCACAAGGACTTTAATATGAGTGTCTGCTACCCAAACTACTGCGAAACAAAGTGCACCTGAAACAACAAGTCGTCATCGCTTTGATGGGGGCCTATCGGGTCATCCCAGCCGCACATTCAACACATCTGAACATGTCGAAAAACTGCATTGACATGAGCACGCTTTTGAAGGGACTTCTCCAGATTTCAGCAAGCTGTCTTTTTCTCGCGTCAGGTCTTTATTAAATTGGTCATTGCCGTTTTTGGCGGCTGTTGAATACAATCAGCAGACAAGCCAGCTGCTCTCTGCTTCCGTCACGAGTCCTAGTTGTGCTTGTTCCTTGCTCCTAAGGATCAAGACAAGTTTTGCAATCAGGATCTCATCTGTCGGAGCACCAGCCTCGCTTCCAAGTCGGTCTTCACCATGGACTGGTAGGCTTTGCTTGCAGAGCTCAAAGAGCTGCCACCAAAGAATACCTGGGCTTCTCGGCTTCCCAATTTGTCCTTTTTTGCGGGTCTCTTTATTGACAAACGGATAATAGCAAGTTCGTGGGAAGCTGCCGAAGCACTTGTGGGAAGGTTTTGGATAGACAGCAATGTGTGAAGTGCGGAAATGAAAAGCGACGTATCACATAGTATACCAGAGGAGGAAATAGTGTCAATAGAAGGATGTATTGGAAGGTCACCACGTTGAGCTCTTGATGATTTATCACCCCAGAACAGATTAAAGGCATCTGCAGTTGCACGCCAACCTGAATGTGGCTCCACGAGTTCCCCAAGCACTTGTGACTGCCGGAAGATTGGCTTTTCAAAGGATCCGAGTCCACTCCCATCCGAGGTACCTGCTCCAGTGACCAAACATCCGGAGGAGACAATGCGCCGCCAGCGCATGTGCGTGAAATCTGGAGAATCAATGGACTGCTCTGATCTTTTGAGCTTGCTTGTGGTACATATTGATTCAACCGTCAACAGCATTTCCCTTGAACATGTTCTTGTTTTGTGTTTTGCAGTTTGCACTCTCTGTCAATGTATGAGCTGTCACTTGAGATCAGTGTCCATTGAAGTCTAGGTTGGAACCTCCAAATGCGTCCTAAAGAATCGTTTTTTTCCAGGATGAGTCCTCCCCCAAATCCGGAAGAACCATCTCTTTAGCTCCAATACCAATATACGAGTCGATCTATGGCATGATGGCAAATGCAAAGGGTCACAGTAAGATGTCCTCCGCCGCAGGATGGTGATGGCAACCATTCTATGTACTGTATAAGGTGTCTTACCTGTGATCATGTTGCAAGTAAAGGACACTCCGCACTGAGCCTCCTTATGCACCACACTCCGGTGGAGGTGCACGGCCAGGTAGGGCAAGCTGGGCAAAGGGAGCAGTCCCCCACACCCAGACGACTCTTCGCATGACCAATCTGCTGAAGATTATTACAGAAAATAGTATCTTTTTCTTGAGTATCTGTCGATATCTGTAGGGTCTGTCAGTCATAGTATATGCCAAGGCATTCTGACTGAAAGCATTGATGCCCTGGGTGTTCGAGATCGTATGGAGATTAAACCTGGAGTTGGTATACATGGTTCTGCACTTGAGCGGGCATCCATCGCCAGGAACATCTCAGTAATCTGAACGATCCTTGAGAGACAGCTTGATACCTTGAGGAGGGAGTTCCTGTTGACTCTACCAGGTGGCCTTGATCCTCCGCTTGGAAGATGAGAACTCTCATGGAGCAACTGTTCTGGGAAAAAACGCGGAGATGGAGTCAATTGGGAGTTTCTTGGGACAAATTCAAACAACATTGTGGCGCTAAGTTGGGGACACACCCATTTCACTGCAGATTGTGGGGTTCAAACCCATTGATCTAATCCCTGATCCGACGCTCACTATGTTTGCATGCTCGGCTGGTAGCTGGAAGGGTATTCCCTCGGGGCATCTCTAACAACCTAATGTACACGTGAACAACCTTTGGCATAACAACTGCACACGAAAAGAATGCCTCGAACCAGAGCGACCCCTCAAGCAGGAGCATAAACTTTTATGCAGTGGGGTGTTGATGCGCTGCACAGCCCGAACAAAATCTTTCATCCCCATTTGCTTGGCACTCCGCCCCTTCCACCCCCCTGCCTTCCCAAAGCGACGTCTGTAAAACGCCGGGCAGAGTCTTGCAGTGCCTTGGAAGGGCTCAGCCTCGGTGAGGCATAGTGGGCCAGGGTCTTTTTCTTAGAGCATGGATATGGGCCATGCGGAATGTGAGTGTGAAGCAACCTAAGCCGGTTCGCAAGCGCTGACCCACTCGAAACCCCACAGAGAAAACGGTAAAACATGTTTTCCCGAGGGTTCTCCTTCAAGAATGGGTGCGAACTTCTGTCCAAACATCATCTGCACAATTTGTTTAATGAATTACTACCATCATCATCACCATCATCACCATTATCAATATCACAGTAAAGACCATCAACATCACCACCAGGACTATCATCAGTGCCATTGTCATCATCAGCAACATCGTCAGAATCAACAGTGTCAAAAATCATTGACATCCGTGTGTTTGTTATCATCATCATCAGCATCATCATCATCACCATCATCATCACCAACGTCATCATCATATGAAGTTGCACTGATGCAGGTGACTGATATGATTGTCCAGGGTTATCATCCGCTGATGCAAGGGCAACACCTCATATATGACATCTACATAGGTACAGGTGTTTTCATACAGCTATTGGGACATAGGTATGGAGGTAGAGGTGATACAGGTGCTGAGATATAGGTGATACAGGTGTTGAGATACTGGTGATGCAGGTGTTGAGATACCGGTGATACAGGTGTTGAGATACAGGTGATACAGGTGTTGAGTCGGTGTTGAGGTACAGGTGAAACAGGTGTTGAGATACCGGTGTTAAGAATTGTCAAGATCTAGGTGAAGACACCTACAAAATTCATCTACACAACAACAAGTTCAAAATGTTTATAGCATTTTATAACTTTATAACTATTCTTTAGGCAGCAGGGCGGCCGGGCCGACGAAACGCAACCCCCTGCGGAGATCTTGTCCGTCTGACGCGCGAAACTGTGGTAATATGCGAATCCCGGAGATCGTGCGAACGGAGGAGAAATCCCAAATTCTGCGTTGGGCGAACCCTCTGCGGAGATCGTGTGCGTCAAGTGCGCGGACGCGAGGCGAAATACAAATTTTGTTATACTTGAGATTACCTTGCCGTGGACCCAACTCAATGGTCTTAAAATTGACTGGAGTATGACTTGGTGGTCGGCTTCTATTCGATACGCTTTCCATCAACTCTCGTCGCCTGCTGGTGAGGTTTGCTCGCAGCGTCTGACTTGGGATGTCCCTTGCGATATCAAGGTGCTCCATGTCTTGGGAAATGGTTGAGAGATCTGCTAAAGCTAAAGAGCGTCTTGGTCGCTTGAGGTTTTTTTGCCACTGACATCGATGTCAAAGCACTCGTCATTGCATCCAGCGTCTATCCCGTTGCATTTCTTTCCGGTAGGCCAACAGCATACACGCTCCCTAAGTCACCGTGTAGCTGAAGCACTTGTAGGCCAGTCAGAGAGCATGTCTTCAGTCTTCACCTTGTGCGCCTCTAAGCATGCCAAAGATCCAGACTGGCAATTGATTCTGAATGCCTGCGCTGCGACTCGCAGATTCCTGCTTGCGCGCTCCAGCCATACTCAGCAGACTTTCTTTCGCATTGCTGCCACGCACCTTCCTCGACCAAACACTTCCAAACGCCCAGCATCGGCTCTCAAGACATATTTGCCCCGCCTTGGGTGAACCATAGAGCGGCATTGATCACCTTCTTGGTGAGATGTGAGCGTCTTCTTCTCCTCATTTTTCTTCTAAGCTTTTGTCATCAAATTTGTGACTTCTTTTGAGCAAATCATGCGTTTGCTCAAGCAGGGCGTCCAGCTGCCTGCTTTCAGGGTGTGGAGTTTCCTGTTGCCCTCTTTCAGGCCAGGCATGCCTGCCGTAGCTTTGGTGTTGGTGTTGTCAGGCCAGGCATCACCATGCCAACCCAGACCCAGAAGATGGGCTGGACACCCACCCCCCATACCCATGCTCCCAAGCCATCCCTGTATGGTGTCCAGGTTGTCCAGAGCCAGAGGATGGGCTGCCAATCCACGATTGGAATGGGTTCAGGGATGGCATATAGACGGGCTGTGGGGTTGAGTCCCCTGTTCACAAACCACACATATTCACGCTCATGGTCAAGGCGCCCATATTGGTCCACCCTTGCCCAATACCCAGTCTCATCACGCTGCCTCCACAGCTGGCCATTGAAGCGCATGACTGGGCCCCACCAATCTGCATGTCCCAGCCATGGACACCACACCAAGGGCCCAAACAACCAGGTGGAAAACCATTTCCACAAGCAGGCACTCTCTCAGCACTTCTCTTGAGTTGAAACAGCTGCAGGTGAATGTGGACATGGTTGTTCAGATTCCTGGACACACATGCACTATAGCTACCATCACAAACCCCTACATAGCTACCACACACCCCTTTAGATTCCTAGATTGTAGAGGGGCTACCATTTTTGAAGGTTACATTGCACCACCCAACCCCCCACTCAATGCTCAACCCTTTTTCAACACCGGTTAGCTAGCATCAGGTCTGTCTGCCTACTGCGGCCTTTTCCAGGCCAGGCTTCAAGCTAAAGGGTGTTCATTTCTCTTGGTGAGCATGTGGGCCTTTTCCAGGCCAGTATTGCTGCAAGCATAGAGAACCAAGGCATCAACACCTTTGTGGCAATCACATGAGCTCCCTTGCACATTGACTAGCAAAGTCCTCTTGCCATCAACAAAATATTGGATGTAGGTGTTCTCTTTTGCCTTTGTCACCTTGAGAGCACCAAAGCAGCAGGCCTTTTCTGGCCAGGGGGGCTCCCCAATGTCATCATGCCTGTTGTTTGACTGCATCCCACAGCTGTGCTCTGAATAGAGACATGTGAAACAAGATCCACTTCCTCCAGCGCTAGTAGGTTGGAGGCCATCGCTAGTAGGTTGGAGGCCATAGCTAGTAGGTTGGAGGCCATCGCTAGTAGGTTGGAAGCCGTCGCTAGTAGGTTGGAGGCCATATAGCTAGTAGGTTGGAGGCCATCGCTAGTAGGTTGGAAGCCATCGCTAGTAGGTTGGAAGCCATCGCTAGTCAGTAGGTTGGA